GATTGGCCATAAGGGTGTTTGGAATAAAATTCCAAAATGGTTAGGAGAATTTTTACTTTTTTTGGCGGTCAGAGGTGGCTTCGATGAGGTAGAGTCGACAGTCGACTATCTTTTTTCAGTGACTGGTTTTCTTCTCCAGTTGAGGCTGCGGCTAGGGTTCAGGTTCAATGTGATGCGAAATATTTATACTCAGCTCGCGTTAATCTGGACTGTTCATCGCATTTGATCTCGACCGTTCGATCACGTTTAAGAATAAAATAAATCTAAAACTTTCATCGTGATTTGATCTTAACCGTCTGATCACGTTTAAAAAAAATGGATCTGAAATGTTCATTGCGATTTGATCTTGACCGTCTGATCGCGTTTAAAGGGAGAACAAATTCGGGTAATCCATGCGCGCTGGATCGATCCTAAACCGTTCGATCGTGGGGCACACGGATCCCCCACGTGGCATCCTGCGTGACACCGACGTTAGTGTGCTTTGCCACACAGCGTGCTTGCTGACTAGGAAGTCCTACGTAGCAAAAATTTTTTTATTTGCACTATGACCTCTAATTTTCGATATTTCTTTCAAAAACATCCTCCAAACCCAAATTTTTACCCATTTTTTCTCAAAATTATTTTCAATTTTATCTCTAACCTATTCTTTTTTCATAAATTCAATAAAAATTAAAATAAAATTTTTATATATTTAAAATGCTAAAATTGATCTCATGCCAAATTCTGGACCCGAGTATTACAACTCTCCCCCCTAAAAGAAATTTGGTCTTTCAAATTTATTTTCCTATCACTTAATCAAACAGTTGAGGATACTGAGCTCTGAATTCTGATTCTAGCTCCCATGTGGCCTTTCTTTATGTGTGATTTTGCCATAGGACCTTAACGAAGGAAATTTTTCTGTTGCGGAGTACTTTACTTTTTCAGTCTACAATACCTACTGGTACATTCTCGTATGATAGATCCTCCTATAGTGAAATGAGTTCATGGGCCAAGATGTGAGAGGGG